CAGGTTGGAGAAGACTGCTGGCTGATTTGCTGCTGATGGAGATTGGTATAGCCCTGAAAGAACCCCTCGACCCTAAACAGCCGGGAGATGTAAAGGGTCTGTGACCTCTCTCCACTACCCTTTCTCCCATGAAGGGTTGGGAGGTTAGTGGGAGGGAGATAGAGGCCTAAACACCCCGAATAAAGAAGAGCTTTAAAAATGAATGCTACATTGGTTATTTGAGTTCTTTTTGAGTTTTGGATGTAGACACTCAGTGCTATTAAACATTTCTTCGAAAATTGCCTTCGTTGTTAATCCATTTTTAGGATTTTTTTTATTCCTTTCTTGATTTCTTTGTCATTTCCTAGTGTGTTGTCTCTTCAAGTTTGTGTAGTTTCTACAGCTTTAAAAAATTTTTTTTTCATCTATTTATTTTTGTTGTTGATATCCAGCTTCACTGTGGTCAGAAAGAACACAAGATGCAATTTCCGTTTTCCTGTGTCGTTGAGCCTTGCTTTGTGTCCCAGTATGTGATCTATTTTGGAGAATGTCCTGTGTGCTGCTGAGGAAATGTGCACTCTTAAGTGTTTTAGTGAAATGTTCTATAGTTATGTATTAGCTGTATTCGATTTAGGATGCTATTTCATGTTTTTCTCTCTCTCTTGGTATAAATTTCCTATCTGTTGGTGAGAGGGTTATGTTGAAGTCACCCACTGTTACCGTGTTGGGGTTAATCTGTTTCTTTACATCTGTAGCGTTCACTTGATGGAGTTGAGTGTACCTGTCTTTTGGGATACACGTGTTTAGAGTTTTAATATCCTCTTGATAGAGTATTCACCTGGTGAACACGAAATGACCTTCTTTATCTGTTCTGACTAATTTTGACTTGAAGCCCATTTTGTCAGCTAGCTGAATAATAGCTACACACACTCATTTCCTAGTTTCATTTTCTTGGATCTTGAATTTTTTACCCTTAGGTTGTGTCTGCCTTTGATGGTAAGCAGTCTTTCTTGGAGGCAACCAAAAAAAAAATCCTATTTTATTTCATTATGTTTAGGTCTTTTTGTTGGAGGATTTGAGGCCACTAAGAGTTATTATTGAAAGCGTGGTTTATTTCTTGTCACTTTGTTGCTTTTGTCGTGTTTTCTTAAATTCCCTTTGACCAACAGTTCTGGTCTTTTATCTTTGTGGCCTTTTGGGTATGTTTGTTGTCCTCTTTAGCTCAATCCATATGGAGCTGGATTAGTGTCATCAATTCCTTTATTTTTGTCAAGTTTTTGTTTCTCCTTCAATTATGGTGGATAGTTTTGTTAAATAGAATAGTTTGGACTGGGAGTTGTTCTTCTGGCTTTAAAAGCGAGCAAGCAGCCTTTGGTTTGGTTGGTCTGCCTTTCTATATGACTTAGCTCCCCTCTCTGACGGCTTTCGGGAACCTTTATTCTAGGTTTTAGTGGCTTAACTGTAATATGGCAGGGGGAGTTTCTTTTCTGGTCTTTCTCAAAATTTTATGTTCTGTTTGTTTCTTGTATCCAGACAGACATCTCTTTCTCTAGATTTGGGAAGTTTTCTTTTATGGTTTGATTGAAAGTTCTTTCTTTGCTTTTGGAATGGAAATCTCTTCCTTAAAATCTCAAAATTCATAGACTGGTATTTTTATGGTGTCCCAAAGCCCTCCCATATTCTGTTCATGGATCCATTTATAAATTTCCCATTGACCTTGAGCTAATGATCTAATTCTTTGACCTTGCCTCCATGTCCTGATGTTTTATTCTCCACATGATCAACTCGTCCTGTTGGCAAGGCTGTTCACCGAGCTCTGTATTTGGCTGATGGAGGCTTCTGTTTCCACCATCATTTCATTTTGGCTTTGCTTTAGCAATTCTCTCTCTTTCATATTTGGGATTGACTTCTTTATTTCATTCAGCTGTTTGTTTTTTGTTCTCCTGAAATACACTCATGCCTTCTTCAAGTTGTTTGAACCTATTTGTAATCATTCCTATTGTTCGTCTGGAAGTTCTTTAGGTCACTCTCATTGGAGAACATTGCTATGAAGTTGGTGATTTTTGGAGGAGACATGTTGTCTTTTTCTCTTTGTTTTCTTTATGTTTCTGCACTGAGACTTTTGCATCTGAAGTTTGTTGAGTTTTTCTTTCCTTTCTCCTTTCTACTTCACTTCCTTTCTTTTTTCCTTTTCCTTCCCAAGTTAACCTTTGTATGGAAGCAGTTGCAGTGTTCAGAGAGGACTAAATCAATGGGTGCTGCCCTGGGTCAGGTCCAGTTAGCTGCCTATTCTCACAGCCTCTGATGTGTGCTGCAGGCCTCCACTCTGTGGGCAAGCTACCCCAGGGCCACGTCTGGTTCACTTCTTGCCTCTGCTTTGTGTTATGGAATCCTATGTACCGAGGTATCCTATTCTAGTTCATCTCTGCCTTGCTCCCTGTTCCCTTGGGTACCTTACCCTAGGTCAGAACAGGCCTCTTCATTGCTTCTGTCCCTCTGTTTGCATGCATGTTCCCGACCCTGGATCAAGTCTCTCCTTCTCTGCACATCCCCTGCCTTTCTCTACACGTTAATCTTCCTACTTTCTGCCAGACAATTCTAAAGACTGACTCAGGTTCACAGGTAAAACCGTGAGGCTAAATGTCTCTCAATCTCTTTTGAAATTAAATTTGAATCTTTGAACTCTGCTTTGAAGGATTGAGTGCTTCAGTTGCTATCACCTTATTGTGTTATGTAGAAGCTGAATAATCATAATTGTTGACATTAAAAACTAGCCCCCAAGGGGATAGCTAGGTTTGTAAAGTGTTTGCCTCATAAGTGTGGAAACTTAAGTTTGATCCCCCAGAATCCACATAAAGATGCCAAGCATGGTGTTGGCTGTTTATAATTCCCATGCTGTGGAGGCAGAGACCAGAGGATCGCCAGGCTAGCCTGACTGGTGATTTTCAGTCCAATGAGGGTACCTGTCTCAAAGGAGGCAGATGACTCTCTGAGTATGACATCCAAGGTTGTCCTCTGGCTGCAATATGCAAATACCTGTCCACAGTATACTCCACAAACACACTTAAACACACAGCCACACATGCAAAAACTAAGTTAATGACCTCCTATGAGTTCAGGATGCTGGCAATGTAGTTCTTTCCTGTAGGTTGGCCACAATTAAAAAAAACTTCATGGTTGATGGATAAGGCAGTTGCAAATGTGTGTAATATATAAATACATATTTCATGTGTGTGTTATTAAATGTGTTCATTTTATGTTTCTGATTAACAGTCTTTTTTATGTATTAAACTTGGTGCTTTAAGCCATCACACTCACTTATTATCTCACAGTTTCCATGGTTGAGCTGCCTGGTTCTCTCTTCAGCTCTGCTAGGGCTGAAGTGAAGGTGTTAGGTAGGCTGTGCTTTGTGTACAAGAGAATCTACTTTGAAGCTTGTTCATGTGGTTGACAGAATTAAGTTTCTTGTAAGTGTAGGACTGTTGCTCTGTTCCTTTTCTGGATGTCAGGTAGGACCACTCTCAGCTCTTAGAGGTCCCTGCAAGTCTTGTCGTGTGGTGCTGGTTCCCTCTTGGCTGCCCATTTCTTCTAAGTTAGCAAGCAGCCGCTCACTCTTCAGTTACAATTTAGGAATATCATACAAGGAGCTAAGATGAAGGGGTTAGTATCCTGCTCTAGATTCTGTAGGTTTCTAATATTGACTAAAAACAGGGAGGGGGTTGGCTCATGTATTTGGGGGTAGACCTCCACAGGAATGCCAGTGTTCTTTATCAGTCACTCTTTATCTGGATACCTTTGCACTGGTTGAACATTGGAGTGACATATGGCTGGAACATGATTTGAGGGACAAGTCTCTTATGTGCACTGTGGCACACAGATGACACAGGTGGTTACTTACTCTACCTTGGACAGAATGTATCCTACGTACTGGCAGACTAGGTGCTAAGAAATACCCATTTCATCAGAGGCAGGGCTTTTCCTGAAATGGGTTTACAAAACAGGAAGTGGCTGAACGGGCACAGTGACCCTTCTAGAATGGGGCGACACACAGCAAGAGTGTGCTCACTAAGTTGGGATAACGGTGTTGATGGTAGATGATGGGAACCAGACAATCCCTGGAATGCTAAAGATGTGTTACCACGAGGATGGAGGACACAGAAGGACAGGCAGCCTTGTGCACACAATCACAGACACTGTTTTCCTACTTTGGGTTTCCCTGCTATGCAGAATTAGATGCATATTTCCAAGAAGGGGTGAGGTGCACCTGGGCTTGCCTCCTTTTGCTGTTGAAGACTAGGCCCACTGAGCTATCTCGAGGTCATTTGGACCATTAAGAAGGAACATGGTCTTTCCATCAGGCTCCACAGAAGGCTCAAAGAGTAGGATTGTCAGAGGCCACCTAAAGTTATAAAGGGAGACCCTATTTCAAAGAGTGATAGAGATAGTGACCCCCACTATGAGCTGGCTTGGTGCTTAGTTAGTCTGAGAGCTGGAGTTTGGCCCTTATGTCCCAGAGCAGAACGAGACTCCAGGAAGTTGTCAGCAGCTTCTACACCAAGCCTTGGCATGCTTGTGCCTTCACTCACGTACACAAGTACACAACAACAATAAAATAAAAAGCATTGTTAAAGACAACTTACCGGTCTGAATTTAAAAAGAAAATGGCCCAACGAGGTACTGTCCATTACTTGTGACTTCTCATTGAAGAAAAGGGTCTTGTCTTTGGAGGAACAAATGTGTCCTTTGAGGTAATGATGAGAACTTACTGCCCTCAATGGCTCCTAGAAAAGATGCCACTTTAGTCATATCTTTCACTCCAGATTTTTGGCTATGATTCGCTCTTTTTTTTCCACCCTGTAATACTTAATTAATGTTTATGTTTGTGTTTTCATTTTATTTATTTTGATATCTGTGCCTTTTATTGTGACAGCTCTCAAATGTCTTTTGGAACTTGGGTTGGGGTAAGTTGAACGGAGCGAAACCAGGAATCAACTCATTGAAACTCTTTATATTTCTTCTAGCATTCCAGGCCCTCCATCTGCAGCATCAGACCACCTTCTCCTGTTGGACTGTTCGTAGGAGCAGACCTGAGGCTCCGTGTCATTCAGAGGTGAGCTGTGTGAGGTTCTTTTTGATGTCTGTGAAGCAGAGTTTGATAGAACTGGCCAGACTGTGGCGGTTGTTCACCCTTAAGTCGTCTTTGTTTTCCGTTTGTGTGCCTATGTGCTCATTTCAGAGAGTGATGTGCAATTGACTGAAACTTGGGGTGCATGGAGGTAAAATTTAGATGGCAGCCACATGTTTTGGTAATGCGGACATATTTTAGTCTAAAGCTAGATTCACGGCTAGCCCTGGGCAAGTCAGTGAATTAGGGACTGTGCTATGGGCCACAGGGCTCTGCCCCCAGGTTCCAGTTTGTTTGCTGTTTGCTTGTCACCTCTGTTATGCTGACTGTAAGTGACTTTATTGATGCTGGTCCTGCCTAGTTGACTGGCTTCATTTAATACTTTCTGACATCAAATCATTTCTTTATTTTTCTCTTTCTTTTTCTGCCTTTCCTTTCCTTTTCCCTTCCCTTTCCTTCCCCTTCTTCCCCTTTCCCCTTCTTCCCCTTTCCCCTTCTTCCCCTTTCCCCTTCTTCCCCTTTCCCCTTCTTCCCCTTTCCCCTTCCTCCCCTTTCCCCTTCCTCCCCTTTCCCCTTCCTCCCCTTTCCCCTTCCTCCCCTTTCCCCTTC